CATGAAACATTCTTAAAAAAAAATCCTTATAAATTAGCACATCTAAAAAATTCACTACTTAATTATTGAACCTATATATAGGTATCTATATATATTGTATCTATAGATACTTGATCTGTTATAAAATAATAATCAAATACACAAAATATGTTCTAATTACGTTTGCCCTTAACTAATTATTATATTATTCCGTGAGTAAAAGTTATTTTATCAAATATTTTACAATTATTTATTTGCCTGATACATGGAAAAATTTAAATCTTTAAGTATTACATTTATTGATATAAATTATTCGTTTCTTATATTTGATTGCTATGATTTATATAATTTGAATACAATTTTAAATTTATTATTCCCTATTACTTAGTTAATATTCGTAACAGATTTCGATTCATTATCATGAATATTGGTTTAAGAAAATCAGTATTCACTTTCTTTATTGATATATAAAATAATATAACACTCTTTGTCCATACCGCTATGGATTTCCACAAGGTTTTTTTTTCCCCGATAAGCAGGGAGAATGGTCCATAAATATAGCAAAGGATTCTCGTTTATTAAAATATAAAATCGTCACCGAAGAATAAGAGAACAACACGAGGCGGGTACTCGCTTCTTTCCAAGCCAGAACAAGAGGCAGGAGGATTTAATAACGTTATGCGGCCTGAGAATAAAAGAGGTACGCGTTGGGGAACAAAGCGCAATATCCCAAGACCTTTGCACATCTGCTGTCAGACGCCTAGAGAGATGACTTTTTTATATTTGCCACAACCTGGATCGTTATTAAAAGAGCGGACAAGCCAAGCTGGTCCTATATATTAATAATTATTTTTTAGTCCGCTAGCAGCATCGTCTTCGTCTTTGACCGATTTTGAGATGAACCACCTGAACCCGATCGATGGTTTCATCTACCTTATGAGACGTTATAAAATTATCCTTTAAGCATATCTTAATATAAGAAACTGTAGAACTGTCAGTTTTTTTAATAATAATCAAATTTGTCACTATAATTATTTATATACAATTTTAATTTTTTAATTCTGATTAATCTTTACATTAATCGTTCTTTATAAATACCATTACATCATACAAGATTATTTTAATTTACATAATCACATCGCATTTGTTTTTTTTTTTTTTTTATCATGGATTACTTTAATTTCGAATGTTAAACTTACGAGTATATAGTATTTCAAAAATAAAGATAACTGCAGTGAAATATAATAAATTTTTCATATATTATTTCATAGTTAAGTGTTAACAAGATTCAAAATTTGTAAATTTTTTAATAATTATTAACACTTTTAGCATTAGATGAAAAAAATGTATGAAGAACTCATTCATTTTATTTATCAAAACTATTATATTTATATACTTTGTTCATAGAGTAAATTTTCTTTATTTAACTAAATTACAATGTATTAATACATTAATTCTGTTATTTTTTGAAAATTATTCCCTCTTTAAATGAAAATATCAGTGCATACATATTTATCTAACTACTAAATATTTGTTTTGATTTGATATAATTTCAGAATGAACGATAAATATAATTAAATAAGAAATTTTTATTCAATATTCTAACTCAAGTTTCACAATGAGTTTTTAAATACATATAAAAATAAACCTGTCCGTAAAAGTGTATTATACAATAATATATTTTTCAAAAATGTTTAAGCATGCCATTAAATAACGATAAAATACTCAATATTTTTTCGGATCTTCAAATGTATGCATACTAATTTCATTAATATGTATATGTAATACTCAAATTTAAAAATAAACCTTAGCCAATTATCAGCTATCTAAAAAGTAATAAATATAAATTTATAATTAATTCATATGTTAAATTAATTATTTTTAATATGATTTTGAAACGATTTTACTATTAATTATTCTTAAATTGATTAATATAATGGAAGCCTATCACAGTTGTTTATAAATTATAGTTATTAGTTAGAGTCAAATTAATTTACAGTTATACACATACTCTGTTTCTGGAATGATCGAAGCAACTAGAATACGTCTATTCTTTGGAAAGGCCAAATGAAGATTTTTTTAACATTTTTTTTCTATAAAACGTTGGTTTTATCTAATTATTTTTAGGACGATATTCTTAAATTTTTAAATAAAATTTTTTGTAAATTTGTGTTTTGAATTGATATGTTTCATCGATTTTGGATTTGTCACGTATTTTTACCGCCCGAGTTGCAAGAATTAAAAAATTTGGTGTGTCATATCGATTTGTACGAACATTTCACGAGATAAACGATGATAAAATGTATTTGTTAATTAATATTTTTCATTAATTAACTTGTTTTTATATGGTCAACTAATAAAAAGGAAAAAATAATAACAAAATTAAGGTGAAATTCCTTATTTTTTAATAATTTAAATATAAAAAGTATTTAATATCGCAAACTTAAATTATTTGTGTTTAAAATAATGTATCTTATATCTGGTTTTTGGTTATATCATTATTTAGACTGAATTAGATAATGATTATATTTTGAAATTATTATTTATTAAAGTAATAAAATTATTTTATTGGATTCTAATTCATCTGAATTATTGATTGATCAAACCAATTTTTTGCATTTAAACCTAGTCTTTTTTTGCATACGATAGGTACATATTGGTCGGTTATATATAAATTATGGATTTAGTTAAGTAAAAAAAAATGTCAATACAAATGTATCAAATTAATCAATAAATTATATTAATTAGTAAATACAATTCGCTATCGTTAATATCGCGAAATTCTCATACAAATCGATATGTCACACTATATTTTTTGATTCTGGCAACTCTAGCGTTAAAAACGCATGACAAATCCAAAATCGATGAAACACATCGATTCACATGAGAAATGTGCAAGAAACATGTATTTATTTTTAGATTTAAAATAACACTCTAAAGATAATTAAATAAAACTCAGGTTTTTAAAGCGGAAAAAATTTTCAATTAATCTTCATTTAGCTGCTCCTGAGTTTATGCGTATTCTAGTGTTTTCGACCATTTCAGAAATACCATGTTTAATAATAGTAATACAAATACATTTTATAATCAACATTATTGGAAAATATTAATTAATACTTGTGTTGTTCTATAAATATATTATGACACGATTATAATGGTTTAATAATATTTTCGTGTCATATACTCCTGCAGCTTAATTTAATATGTACGAAAAACATTTATGTAGGGACATTTTAATTCGTAATAAACTCAAAGGTAATAAAAACAAACGTAATATAAAATAATATTTAATTTTATACTTAAAGTTAAGAGCAATTTTATTGCTGATAGTAAAAAAAAAAAAAAAAAAAAAAATAATAATAATAATACTGAAAAATATTAATTACAAATGTCAATATTATTGTTTAAGTTTAAGTGAATTTAAACGTTCTTAACAGTTCAAGTTTTCCATCTTTTTCCGTTCGTATCTTAACCAATGGGTCCCATGGGTCCCTGGATTAGCAACAATAATAATGAAAATATAATAAACCGTAATTAACAAGTCGGGTCGGTCCAGCTGATAAACAGTCATGTCCCAAGGGTACATTGGCGTTGTCTTAATTAAATTTATTAACTCAAGAAGAGTAGAAGGTATACACGTTGTAACCACAATTCAAATTTCATGGTTATACTTTGTGTGTGTGTGTGTGTGTGTGTGTGTGTGTGTGTGTGTGTGTGTGTACATGTATGTATTTCAAAATTAAAAACAAAAATAGAATTAGTCGCAACGATTTTCTGAAACTGGAGATAAAAACATTTGCTTCTTGAATTTTGAATAGATTCGAATATGTATCCCAATTTCGTTGTTCTCTTTATTTTCCCTTTTACATTCAATAATAGCGCTTTCATTTTTATTCATGACAACGAACGTCATAAGATTAAATGTTTTTCACGCTACATCAACGCAATGATAATGCATAAGTTACTACATAGTTGAAACTTATTATAAATTAAACATAATATTTAGATAAATCGAATTTTCATTTAGTAAATCCTGTAATTTTTTTTATCGTAATTTATTTTAAATGTATTTGAAATCGATTCTTCCTATTTAAAAGCATAAATTCAAATTATATTTAAGACTATATTATATACATTTATTAAATTTATATAAATATTTATAGAATTATTAAATATTTATATTTCTTTTGTTTTATTCCTAATATAATATTCCCGTAAAGGACTATATTAAAATTCCTACACTGTAATAATATTAAGCTAACGGTATGTACTTGTTTTATATAAAGCCTTTTATACTGTATAAATACTAAAGCTATTTGTTGTTTACAATTATTTACAAATTAGTCTCAAGTGGGTACCTAGTTTAATATTTGTTGAATAACAATAACTATCTGATCGATAAAGAGTCGATATGAATCATGACTAGTCTTTGCACATTATATACGTATATATGTTATTCATTATACGTACATGAATACGTAAACGAAATTAGTAATAAAAGTTTTGATACGTTTCTGTGATCGTTGTCGACCTGACACTGGGCCGGTGTCGCATACTAACCGCACGCACGCACACATATTTGACATGTCCCTTCTGCACTAATTAACAGCCCGAGTCTCTCATAATTAAGTACGACACTGTCAAGCGAAGTTCTCTCTCTCTCTCTCCCTCTCGTATGCACACTCACGTGCGCACACACACAAACACATACGTGTACATTCACCCTGCGCTGTTTCAGAACAGCATGAAACTCTCTTCCATCCCTAACCTCTCTGGACGGCGACATTGTTTAGTAAATCTTTGTTTGGAAGATACGTTCGACTGGGTAGATATGGCAAGAATGTTTACCCTTAAGCATACATTATTTGCGGTCTTTAGCCACTTGTTGCTTTAGTCCCATTCCTTTCTCATGTAACAAAAAATGTAAAATTATAGTATGTTCTTTTTACTGTTAATATTTTATTTTACTAAAATAATGATAATAATAATAATAATAATAATAATTTCGTTTTTATTTTTAGAGTTGCCACCAGGATTTCCAGTGATTACCGAAGGCCCGGGTAGTCACAAATCTATTGAAGTGGGACATAATGCCGTATTGCAGTGCTCAGCCTCCGGTAATCCGTCGCCAACTATTTATTGGCTTCGAGAAAATATGCGACTAGATTTGGACACGAACCCTAGATACTCAATTCTTGACAAAGGATTTCCAGGTATGTACTCTTAAAGACGGCTTACCACTGACGAGGGTGTTTTTTTTCTACGTTTGGGACATCCCCTTTGGGACCTTTGACTTAAGCAAATGGACCCCCTGGTTGTAAAGTTTTCGTGGGATCTAAGTTTTATTGGTCTAACCAAAAGGCGTGACGTTATGGCTTTTCAAACCCTCGTGCAAACTACCCTCTAATTTTACAACGAGTAATAGTGTTTGTTTAGTTGCGATATTTTTTATGTTTGAAGATAACATTTTCAGAAATCTTAATGCTCTAGATAAATTATTGATAAAAAAATTAATCTATCCATTTAATTATTAAAAAAAAAAGACGAACACTTATAAAATATTCGCTCTCTCGTATTTTGATATGCATTTTTATAAAAATAATTTTTTTGGTTCTTTTGAAACCTTATCACTTGTAACGAAATTGTGAAATTCAGTCGTGTAACAGTTAAAATTATATTGCGATTATATACTAACATCAGATTAAAATTGTGTCATAACTTAATTTTTAAATTTATTTAAGTACGTGCAGTAAAATAAGTCAATGTATTATATTATTAACTTACAAGTTTTAAATTAAAATCCTATCGCATTCTGTAGCTATAAATTTGTCTTTTATATAAATTAAATACAATAAACTAATTTAAATGAATTAAGAATTATATAATTATTTACTTTTGACCTTAGTTGTTCTACCGTTCTTTTAGACGTAAATAAGTTAAACTTAGTTACAATTTTGATTCTATTTACATATTAAGACTCATGTTTATATTTTGTTTAAACTAAAATAAATGCGTTTTTTAATATTGAAATTATTTATTTAAAAATTTACATTTAATTTTAATTAATTATCAATAGTTAGTATTTAATTGAAACATTTATTTGTTACGAAATTAATTTAAGTTGGCCATTTATACTCGTGTTTTTGTACAAATATGCTGGACTATATTTGCGTTAATTTTTTTTTTTTTTTTATAAAAATCCCGATGTAAATACATTTTTATAATTAAAAGAGATATATGTTAAAATAGTGCAAAACTGTAATTCACTACCTAAATTATTAATTTGCCCATAAAATATAAGTTTCAATAGTGAATTGATTTATATTGTAACAATCTTTTGATATTTTTCCCCTCAATTTTAAGACTACTTATTTTTTTCAACAATTTTTTAAATTATTTGAAAAAAAAAATGAAGCACTAGTTTTGGTTTGGTATCCAATGATAATATTAACTACATTTTTGATTTTTTTTTTTTTTTTTTATTCAGCTTTTTTATCTATAGGTATCTAATTTAATTATTTAATTTTTTTACTTTTATTTTTGTTGTAACTAAACTTTGTTATACGCAATGAAAAGTACAAATATTTGTTTCTAACATTTAATTGAGTATATATTGTGACCGTACATGATAACTTAATAATTATCAAAATTAAATATTTATAATGGGCCTTACGATTGATATCATCTACTATAGTTGCACTGAAATTTGCAGACCATATAACTCAATTATGTCGAGTAGTAAATCATGAGAAAGTTAGGACCTTATTGAAGAGTTGAAACACTAACAAACTTTATTTAGTTCTTACGACTTTTCGTAAGTAACCATTCAAAGTTGTTAATTTTATGAACACTAATAAATACTGTTATAGTTCTTTAGAAATAATAAGATAAAATTTAATTTCTGCGTCTTTATTACGTTATGTTTTATACATCACCTATTTAATTGTTAGTTAAGTATCTTAAACTTTTAAACTAAACTCACTTTATAATTGTTGAGCTACAATGATTTATATGTAAGTTGAACATTTTGAATTTAATCGATTTATTTTATGGCAAACTATAAAGATTGATGTTAGAATAATATGAATCATAACCTATCAGATAACATTAATTTTACTTCATTAGAATAATAAGTATTAGTAGTTGGTAAATACTTACGAACGAAGAAATTGATAACCGGATGCATGAAAAAACAACAGAACGTTGTATTCCGTTTAATTAGAGATTTATCGGTGTATAAACAGTGATAAATAGGTTAGGTAGCCAACATAATATATTGTATAATATAATTAATTATATATGGACATATGTGGACACTTTAGATCATTACATTACGATAAATATTGCATATTAGAAATAATAAAAATTCTAGCTGGTTGAGGGATTATAAGTACCTATCGGCTACTGCGTGGTAAAGTATGTTGCCTTAAAAATTATGGAATAGTTGGGTTATAGCTTTAATATGGTGTAGAGAAGCATTCTGATTTATATTATACTACTACATCATACATAGTATTGTCATAGATAAAAACTCATAGTGGTATGTACTTGTTCTTTTATTCACATAATATTTTAACGTAGTACCTACCCCATGAATTATCATGAAAATTACGAATTCCATCATATGAGGTCGGGTCCCAATAAATATGGAATGTCATATCATTAAGCGCATACTAGTTCTTCTGACTTACAGCCGCCAATTCTATATAGTGTGTGTGGGGCGTTTAGACATGCGTGTTTAAAGTGACTGAATAGGTTGTAATGTTTTGGTTGTAATAATTTGATATTTTTTTTAGACTAATTCGTTTTAAAAACTACCAACAATTGTTCATAACTTTCATTATTTTATAGTTGTTATAGCTTAGACTTCTCTAAGGTCCAACATTTTCTTCAAATTATATTCTAAAATGAAAATTAAGAATAATAAGAAAATGTTCTTTTATAATGGAATTAATGATTAATAATACATTTATATATGTTATCTATTACTACTTAATACTCATAGAAACTCACTTTTAAGTTGCTTCTTGATCACTTTAGTAATATTCAATTACATATGTATAAATTACATACATATATATATATATATAACATTATACAAAGAATAAAAAATATATTTGACTTTATGACAAAATAAATCTTACCTATATATAAAAATAAACAAATTCGACGAAAAACATTATTTGTAATATTGTATAAACTTCTTATATCGTGAAAAAATGTAGCTTTAGTATTATTATTATCTCCTTGACTTAAGTATTATAATCAACAAGACGAACTTAGTGCGATTTTTTTTTCTTATAATACATATTGTTTGAAAACTTTATTAAAAAAAATATATATATATATTTTTTTTCGTTTGTCAGCAAATAATGTCCCTTCCATTTTTAAACATAAACCCCATAATATAGAAGTTGATAGAAAAATTGTATTATATTTGTTTATTCATGTTAATTGTGCATTAAGGAATATTTTCATGTATTTTATAAGCGGCTTTCAATTTATTTTTATAGTAACAACTTTAACAGTTTATAATGTTTAAATTATTAGTGCGTTTTATTATTTATTTATAACTAAGCGAACTTTTGATATATTTTATAAATTTATTTATATTTGTATATTTTGTTTATTTCATGACTTTTGAATGTCTACGTGATCTAGTTGTTTAAATATTCAGATAATTAATTCACACCGCGTATTATCCATATCTCAATGCCTCTCTTCCCAAACAGGATTTATAACACAAAGGGTTTACAGTTGTCGTTTTTTTCCAAATCCCTTAAACCGTTTAACGGTCATCGCATAATAGCAGTAACAATAACAGACTGCCATTGGCTCACGGATATTCACTAAGCAAACAGCTAATGCGGTATGCAAATCAGTTATAGAGATAAACTGTAATCTATTATTACTATTATTTTTTTCACTGATTGAGAACAAAATCAAAACATTTATTGACCGTTGCCAGTGTTTTATTTTTACGGTAGCTTTGAAGTCGAAATTGCATTAAAATGTGTATAATGTGCTTCCCGTGTACAAAATTACGGGCACGCAACCGTTTGTTGCGGGGAAGTCTCGACTAGGAAAAGTTTATAATGAAAAAGCGTCAAGGTAGAGAGACCTTTGTGTTAATGATTCTATTCAGGGTCGCGTGCGAAGCAGCAATTTTTATATGTTAAAAATAAAAATAAAAACATAAAATTAAGGGGGAAGGAGTCAGCTACAGAAATGGATAATAATCTATTGGAATGACCTGAGATGTAAAATTCATGTTCGGACGTGTTGCATCAGAAAAAATCACCTTTCAGAGTCTTTTGAGAGACTTATGTGAAAGAACTTTTAAAGTATGACGTTGCCGTTAAGGAAAAAAAAAATCGTCAATGTGGGTTTAACGGCCAAAACTTTGACATTTTAACGCACATAGCAAAATATATTTTCCGCGAATATGCAAAGAGACGTTAACATGTAACTTTTGGTTGGGTAAACACAATATTATGAGAAAGAAAAGTTATAGAGACTAAGGTGTTTCCTAAAAAAAAAATGATTTACCACAAAAAATAAAACGACGAGTATAACTTCAGGAAAAACATTTTTATCAAAATATTAGACTTCATGCATTCCTATTACTATTTTGAATATGCTCATTGATATTAGAAATATATTTAATAATAAAACAATAAACTGTTTAAACGATAATAATTAATACAAAAGAATAAATAATCAATAAACGTATAAAAATTTAATTGTATTACATACATTATCACATAATCTTGGTAATTTGTTTTTTTTATTTGATTTTTGATAGATGAAGAAATACATTATTTTATATTTGAAATTGTGGTAATTAATGTATTGTTTTTAAAAACTAATAAAATTACTGTACTTATATGTACATACCTATATTAATTTTAACATGAAGTAATGCAGACTTACTTATTAATTAAGGTGTATGAAATTATAATTCTGTTAATTATTAGTACCCTTCTGCTTAATCGTTAAGTATAATCGTAACATGCAATCTTTTGTAGTTGGTATTGTAATAATATTTATCATAAATACTACCATAAAAATAAAGTAAAAATGTTAATATTTTTCGGAATGAATTAGTTTATGAAATTTACACTAATATTTAAAAAAGATAGAAACCTTATTTGAATTTTAAGTTTTGTTAACATTTTTACATTGAATTTTTTACATTTTTACATCAGTTTTG